TTTTTGATTGGGTGCAGCTTTACTTCATTTCCAGAAGGAGATTTCACAAAATTTCCTGATAACAGATTAAATATATATCAACAAATATGTAAACTTCGACAAAGCTTCTGGAAGCGATGGAAAGCTGACTACTTAAACACATTGCAGATGCGATACAAATGGTATAAAGAAAAACCAAATTTAATGTTAAACATGATTGTATTATTGAAAGATGATAATCAACCACCATTGTCTTGGCCATTGGGTCGTGTAGTAGAATTATACAAAAGTAAAGACAATCATATTCGAGCTGTTGTTGTAACAACTAAGACAGGTTTATATTCTAGACCTATTACAAAAATTGTTCCATTGCCTTTTGAGCAAAATAATTAATTTTATAATATAACATATTGTAACTATATAAAATTACGAGCTGTAATACTTATTTAATGTGAGTGTTATTTTATTTTATTTGTAAAGAGTGTTGATTTAAGCAGATCACTTTAAGTTTATTATATAGAATTTTGTTCTTACTGCTTACCTGCACAATTGTACTTATTATAGTGTGTAACTAAGCTATATGGTGCTTATTTATAAGAACTTGTCATAAGTAAATTTAAGGTCTATGTATTAGTTACTAATGCAAGCTACAATGCTCGTAGGACTTCCATAGGGTTGTGTATTTTTAAAATATGATGCCAAGAGTATTTAGTTTCTCATATCTTAGTTTGGTTGAGATTGTAATTTTTTCTTTGAAGTTAATTACCTAGATTTCAAGAATTTAATTTCTATGTATTCTTTTTTGGTTAGATACGTTCTTCTTGAATATTGAAACGTTGTATTTTCAATGGGGCGGGTGTATGGTAAATAAGAAACGTAGATTTAAATGTATGTTTAATTAATTGATTTAAAGGATCTGTTTTTACCGACATACATTAGTTGTCAACAGATGGCGCTAATGTATTAGTCTATAATTAGACGTTCTGTTTTACCGATCTTTCTCTTTCTATTCAAGATGGTTTTGTGCTTTTTGTTCTCCAATTAACAATTTAAGATCTTGGATAAATTTCACTTAATACTTACTGCATAGTAGGACTGATACTCAACACACGTTTTCAAAAAAGAAAAATAGTATTGTAAATAAGAACAGTCAGGCGCCGTATTAACATTTAAATGAAATTTAGAAGGTATTTAGTTATTTATATTCTTTACATAGGATTGTTTATGCAATGATACGAGTATAACGATAAAAAAGGGTAGATAGGTCATGTCAGTACTAATACGATGTTTATGATTTTATTTGTTTCAAGCATATACATACGCACATGGCACGATACTCTCCAATTATTCATAGACTATAATTGAACATGTCATAGACCAGACGTATAATGATTTAATGTATGTTTCCTGTTTATTTTTGCTTAACGCGTTAAAGACTTCAGTTCAACTTGAAAATGTTGATGTGTAACATTATTATTTCTCCTTGTCGTTAGTGTGTATATTATTTGGCCGGTGCATAAATAATGAAGCTTTTCAGGCGATAAAATAAACCTGACACTGACATATTAATATGTGTAATAACACGAGGGCTTCGATTACGATCGGAATCGGAGTATTTTTTTTAGCACCGGAGTTAGAGTTTCGATGCACCGATATTCAAACCCCGGAGTTTAGGAGTTCTCAGTTATATATTGATGATTTTCAAATAAATATAAAGCAGGTACTAAAGTCGAATTGTCTGTTCTGTTACTTACATAATCTTTGACAGTTTTTTTTTTCACAATTTGTAAATCGGAGTATTTACTCTTTCTTTTTATGACACATGATTTATTTTTCCAATTAAAACGCCAATCAATTAAAAATGTATACTTACGAATGAAATGTGACCCCTTGGTCCTTGGACGACTTTCTTATGTTGTTTCTACAGTTTCGCATAACACAAGATGGAATTATTTAAAAATATATGGTACTGAAACGTACAAAATCAACGCTTTTGACAAACTCCGCTCAAAATGCACTTTGACAAAGGGTATGCTAATTAGCAAAGTTTTAAGGTGACTCTTTTTGAATTCGAGTAACCTATTTACCCTTTTTTATTGTTATATCATTAAGTGTATATAAATCTGTGACCTTAGTTAAAAACAAAAAGGTAAAATAAGAACAATTATTAATCCAATACATACAAAAACTTTTTTATATCTATTTAAAATATGGAACAAATTATTTAAAACGATAAAACGAGGTTAAATACTCTGAATTATTGCTCATTGATCTGTCATTATTTTTGCCATGCTCTATCAAAAGAGGTTTCTATCGAATATTTCTTTTTTCAAAAAGAAAAGCGAACATCATCGGTGATTTTAAAAGAAAGTCTTTCTACATTTCCTTGTTCGATAACGAGCCGCGTTCGTAGCCGTTGAGCCGATAATGAATAAAAAAAAGAAAATACCGTTGTAAAAAGGTTGGACAAGCGAAGTAAATTAAAATTGCGGCTGGTCTGCATGCTTTAATGTCGCGTTGTGTTTAAACGTTTATTTTTTTTAATTTACATTCAATACATGAAATCATGTACATTTTTAAGGTTAACAGAAATCAAAACAATCAGGAAACGGAGGTGCAAACTAAAATAATTTAGTAGATATTAAATCATTAATATTTGAATATATATATATAAAAACTATAAATAGGTACTACTAATACATAAATAATTTAATAACAATAGCACATATAACATATTACTGATAAAACTACATCTACACAAACAATACATAAAATATATATTTATAATGTCTACCAGAGAAATTATGAACTTGTTTGTAACAGCATAGTTATGTGGAAAAATAGCGGTTTTTCACCAAATCTTTGAAGATATTTATCGATTGTGCACGTCTTAATGAAGTCGGGAGAACATTCCAGAGTCGCACAGCTTAGACGCTGAAGGAACCACCATAGTAGGTGGTACTATGTAGAGGCGTCAGTTTCAAATTTTCTGATGATCTCAAATTACAGGAAGTAGAACAGTTTAAAGGACTAAAGCGCTCTTTCAAATAGCGGGGGTAAAGAGGATTAAACAATATGTTGTAAAGGAGGGATAGTATATGAGCATTCCGGCGAAAACGAATAGGAAGCCACTTGAGCTGGGTGCGAAATTGAGAAATGTGATCGTATTTGCGCAATCCAAATATGAATCGTATAAAGAAATCCTGAAGTCGCTCAAGTTTTTTAAGTTGTTCTTCCGTAAGATCAAGACAACATATATCGGCATAGTCAAGTAGTGGAAGCAACAGAGATTGTGCTAGAGCAATTTTAGTAGGCAAGAAATTACGCAACCTCCTCAATAATGCAGCAGAAGCATACAGTTCACGACTGACCGCCTGCAGCTGGGGTCCCCAACTCAAATTACTATCCATTACTGTCAAAATTCACTTTATGCAGGAGATGCAGATCAAGTTTGGAGATCAGCCTGGAGCTACCTATGATAATAGTTTTAGTTTTAGTCGGATTCACTGTGAGACCAATTGCTCTATCCAACTATACGTAAAATATCAAAATTAACTGTACTAAATGCGCTGCTAAAGTCTAACAATTTTAGTACAGTAAGAAGACCATTTCCCATCCCAAGCCGTATATCATTAGCGATTTTCACCAATGCAGTTGTTGTACTATGACCAGGACGGAAACCTGATTGGAAAGAATTAAAAAGACCTTGGCGGGACAGGAAGCAATTTAGTTGGTTATGGACGAGAACTTTGGATGGAAAGGAAGAATGGAAATCGATCTTAAGTCATAGAAGGATGAGCATCTTTCTTTGCGGAAGGGAAAACGGCTTTAGCTATGGATTTGTTGAAAATAATAGAAAGGACAGGGAGTATGATGTCGAGGATAGGTACCAACATGTTACGACTGATTCCGTCGGTGCCAACTGCATTGGAATTAATAGATAATATGCTTCTTTTAACATCACATTCCGTGAACTGGGTAAATACAAAGGGAGAGTAGTCAGGAATTGGTAGATTAAACAGTTGTCGAATAGTCCTATTTTTATCTGATTCACTAAGATCAGATGACGAAGAGAAGTGGGAATTGAAACCATCAATATTAAAATTATGAGGCACAGAATCTTGACGTGGTTAACCAATTCCGAATGACCTGAAAAATTTTCAGACTTTGGCTGGATCTTCCTCATCGACGGAATTATGAATGTGACGACGTAAGGCATCCCTACACACCACATTGCAGCGATTACGAGCCTTAGCGTATTTTTCCTTTTTAAGCTCAGTTGGGCGACTTTTATATCTGCTTTTAGCGATGGATTTTTTATGAATTAGATCTTTAATTTCACGAGTAAGCCAAGGTTCAGGGGAAGGTTTGAGCTTAATAGTTCAAAAAGGTGCATGCTTATCATGATGATGGAGCCGGAAAGTAGCCATTGGATTTTATTAATAAAAAAAACAAACCCATCGAATTTGGGCTGACTTGTCATTGCTCTAAGATAATATCCAGAGTCTGATGATGAAACTGGTGGATATAGGAACTTTGTTAAGCAAATCTATCTAGTTTGAGTTCGTTTAATTTTCTCTACAAAATCTCTGATACAAATTTATATACAACAGAATCTTGTTTTGAACAAAATAATTTATTTACTCTCCAATTTAATACACATTGAAATAGTTTGTTTACAAAACATGAATAAATATTAATTTGGTCAAAGAAAACAAAAGGGATTTTTTCCAACAATACCTGTTTAATAATTACTAGTATATTAATAGTCATATATCACAAATTAATTGGTTACGCTGCATATTACTCCACTGTGGAGAGCATTTCTAATGCATTCTATACTATTCTTGTGACGAATAGATGCCATTTGACGAATACATGCCATTTGACGTTTAATATAACCGAAACAATTGTAGTCCAGATGTTGTAGGTCTGGCTAATATGGCGGATGGAACAACTGCGGGATACCACCCTCTTTCAAATATTATTGAACATTCTGAGATTTGTGTGGACGGGCGTTGTCATTTGGCACTGGAAATCGCAATCAAGCAAGCAATTTGGGATTTCTTCCTCCAAATATTTTTATAAGCATCAGAATCTATTGTGGTTCTCTCCGGGCATAGCCAATAAAATGTAACTCCGTCATAATTTAAGGCAACCACTAACATTCTCTTCGCGCCGTTGTGGTCAGCAGCTATAGCTACCTCAGGCATTTCATCTTTGTAGAGATACTGCCTCTGCTGGTGACGTCGGGGTGCAATATAGAGAGATAACCAAGTTTCACCAATGGCCAGAGACCGTTTTATTAACTCAGGACGTTTTATTAGTTTCTGAAGACTGTCTTTACTCAGAAGAGCGCAGTGTTCTTTTTGATGGATATTCACTTCCTGGGGTACGTTCTTACCAAGAAGTTCTTTTTTCAACTCTTCCTTCAAATAATTTTGAATGGTAGTTCTGGAGCACCCTACTAAGCGGGCATGTTTCCTTATATACCAATGTCTTGAAATAACCATGAGTTCTTCTTCATACTCGTAAATTAAACCGGCACTTTTATTTTGTTGCACACCAAACTTAATAAAAGCATGTTGATCGGAATCAGTAAATGTAGATAATAAGATTTCATGGCTTTCAATTTTAAATTAAAATATACTTTATGATAACTATGGTAAAAAGCATCGAAATAAAAAAGCATCTTAGAACACGTCCGTTGCCGCGCGCGACCAACCTAACATAAATGTAACTAATCAAAACTCATTTTAACAAACAGAAGATTTTTGTTGAAGTTGAAAAAACACATCGGTATTTTCAAAAAGGTTCGTAACGATTTGTATTCTATTTTCGAAATGAATCAGATATTAATAACTCAATACAGAAACCATTTGCAGCTATAGTCCATCATAGTCCACGGAGCATTGAAGTAAAATGATTAATAAAGATAAAAAGAAAAACGAGAATACCCGCAAAAAAGTTCAGAGATCATCAATTTAATAAAAGCAGTCGAATAAGCGAGCAACCTATTATTTTCCGCAAAATAGAGGCCCCTAAATGAGGGGCCAAGATTAACCCGTGCGATTTTCTTTGTTGTTTGATGCGGACCATTGCATTGTAAGTTGATTTATTTTCACGGATAAGGATAGCATTAAGCGGTAAAAAGCACATTATTGTGATTAATTAAGATGTTTAATATACAACGTGTAACAGATATGACGTACATCCTTATATATCCCAATTAGAAAATACATTTATAATCATAAAACGGAAATTGTAATTTTACTTTTATGTACTAATACATTGTGGACACAGTTATACTAATTGCTGGGTAACAGTGTAGACATCTTATAAATCTACACAGTAACGACAAAATTACGGCTTAGCCTCCAACTACAAATGTACCTACAGCGCAGTACCACATTGATACCACCTACCTACTAATAAAAATTCGCGACATGTAATATTATTCTGTTTCAAGATTCAAAGTGTTTTATAAATTTAGACAATAATTATGATTCTTACTTGATATGAGTATCGGCTAGCATAGTCTTGTGTTCACATATCACACGGCGAGCACAGTAACACCACATTGTGCCTAACTCTACATTTCGATGTATTTACTGTATGTTAGTATAACGAAGAATTATCGCATGTGAAATTGAAAATTCGATAAACTATTGTAAAATTGCGGTAAAATAATCATCCACTGCCACTGTCAGGTTTGTCACATATGTAATGTTTATTTGTGGAATATTATTTCACTCTTTGGTTTGATCATTAAAAGAAAGATCATTCTTCTTTGTTCTCCTTTCCTATGTTGTATTTTACTACAAGCTAATAATATAGTGCATTTTAAAACCTTTTTACATTTACTTTAGTTTATTTTTTGTTTGTAACTATTAATAAATTTAGCAGATAAAAAATACCTATATGAGAAATTGTTGAAATCGAATCAGTATCTGATTTTAAACAAACTACTTTCAAGATGTGCGTTAATTATGTTACACGTTGTATAGATAATCAATGTAAGCTTGTCTATAAAAATGTTGAACTTTTGTGTTTATACTTATGCAGAAATGAATCTTAAAATACACATTATCCATTCACTGCTTGGCTTAGTTTTTACACAAAAAGTTTCTATTCTGGTGTAATAAACTTTTTACAAGAACAGACTTACCCAGGCATCGTACCTATTTTTGCAGTGGCGCGCGCACTTAACACGTGACAAGTGACTTGCATAGAAATTAATAACGATGACAAAAAATAACCAGTGCGTGTGTAGGTTGAAGCTAATAAGTCGTAATTGTTGTAAACTGAACTGAAAACTGTATCATACATTTCTTGTCATCTTATTAAACTTGGATTTATACACTGTGCGCAAGTCATTGCTTCTTTTATGTACACTCTTATATTAAAAAAATAAAATTAAAAATATCTGAGTAACTTTTATAGTCCAGGACTCAGATTGAAAAAAAAAACAAAAACAATAATTGTAATCAATCAAAATAGTTTTGTTGCTTTCTTTAGCAAGCCTTAAGAATTTTTTTTCTAATCTTTTTGACACCAGTGATTTATTTTAACGACCTTTTAACTTTTAACAACTCCAGCACACAACTCTGCGCCTGTCAGATTTCACCATTCTGGTTTTCAGTTACTTCAATTCCATTAGCGAAATAAACAATGGGTTCCAAACGACTTGGAGGCCTTAGGGTATTGTTTTGATAGTCTTTGACTAACACAATCTGTTACGAAAATTATTTTTGGTCGGTATCAAAACGCCAAAACGACGGGGGGTCGTTTAATTTCCTATTTTTAATTAAATAACAAAAGTTTTGTTCTTTAGAAATATTTCCATTTATTTGTATATATTTCTGTTTCATTTAATAATATTTAATTGGTCTGCAGTGTTATTCTTTTGTCAAAACATTTGCTACAGGATAGCAGGACAAAGCTATTTAAAACATAGGATTAACTCATAAAAATCAAATAATACATCAATGTCGAATAAAGGTATTAATTCATTGAAATGTTTTTCAACAGATTACAATGGCTGCTGTATATGCTTGAATCCTTACTGTTGCGTGTATTTTAAGAGTTGAAATGTACGTCAGTCTTTTTTACTTCTATTAGATTATAGCTGTCCGTGTATGACGTAGCTTTCTGTCGGTGAAAGAGTTTTCAAACAAAGTAAGAAACTTTGTTTGTGCATAATAAGTTACTCACTAAATCATTTTTAAAACGATCTTGATACATTATCACAGTGATGTTAATATGTCTTGATACGCAATTCATACAGGAATAGTGAAGCTACTACAACTAAGACGTTTGTTCTTTATTCCAATATTCATTCAACTCCCGCCGAGAAAGTACAAAAAAATCCTCCGCAAAAATGAAGAAATACAATGGAAATAATACGATTTTCCAAGAAAGTATACTTATATTACGTTTCACACTTAACTCATTCAAATTTTAGCGTCACTGTTACCACTGCTGTTCACTTCCAATTTTCCCAACTATGTAGGAGCTTTATGTTTATGCTATATTTATGTTGTTAGCTTTTATAACTACCGTTAAGATTTTCGTACTAAAATGAAGAATCTCTGTTCATAATCTTACTCATAGTTACTGCTTAAAGGATGTTGAAAGCTATAGACTATAAGTAGATTAACACAAGGTTTCTGAATTGAGAATTTAAAACTAAGCACGTCTCGAATTGTACTTAAACAGGTTTTCGTTTCTGATTTTAGTTGTTTAATGATCAGTGTGATAGCAGTTTGATAAATCTATGACTTTTTGCCTTCTGAAATGTCAAAAATAAGCTATTGAGAATAATCAATTGAAATTTTGTACTTTTCTCAATTCAGAAACCGGCCGTATGAGAAAATAAGTCGAAATCAACAGGTCAGTTAGGTTACTTAAATACAGACAATAACTTTTTGCCTGGAATAAAACTAAAAAATCATTTTTATGTAAAATTTCTCAATTATACACCTCGTTTATATACATAAAAGATACTATTATTATTAGACAAAATCACATACGTTGCTCAGATTCTAAGATGACTAGCTAAAGCATTATAGTATTTTGTAGTATCTGAGATAATGAAGACCCGTAACACCCAGACCCGTAACATTTTCATTTTTTACATTGACCTGACCTGAAATCGAACCCAGGCCCTCAGAGATGGTGACATCTTGAAACCGGCATGCGGACCACTCGGCTACGGAGGCCGTTTTTACAATAGAAAAGACTATAACTATGAAAAATAAGTAATAAAGTTGAATTTCAGATTTAACTAGGCGATTTTTATATATAAATACAGAATTTAAAAAAATACATGCCTGTCGAATATTATGTTTTAATTCACAATGCTATAAAGATATCAGTGTTAAAAAAAATAATTCTTCTACATTTTCTTTAGAAGGAAAATGATCTGACAATATTAGCACGTTCTATAATTTTCTCACTATGAAATAAAGTTCATTTGGACTTTGCAATTTTGTCCATAAGCAAATCCTCGTCCGCCATATTGTAATTCAACGATTGCATTTGATAACCACTCTTTGGGAGTTAACTTGTCCATCATCATTGGTGATCTGTTATCTATCATAAAAAAAATACTTAATTCTAAATCCAATATGGCAATATTCTTGAAACAAAATTATAAAATTTCTATTGGAGACTAATTTTGTGCACCCATATTTTAAAGTAGTTGTATTTCTAGGTTTTCTAATATACATGAATTTTAAAATCGGCGAAAAGACAGCGTACAATTATTTTCTAGATTTCGAATAGAAATTTTCAAAGTTACAGCATTTTACTAATTGATTTTATAAATATATCTGTATTATTCGTTTATTTATGTATCATAAGTGATAAAATGTTCAACGGCTGACAATACAAAAATCCAATTACCAAAATCGAACTAAAATAAAAGAAACAAATGTATTATGCCTTGGCTAAACAAATTGTTATGTTTTTAAATTATATATTTACTTATAGTTCTTTGAACTCAAGAAAGAAAACGTGGGGTAGAAGCAAATTTATTATAATATTAAAATAAAATTGCATATAATTACATGAAAATTGAAAATTATATTAAAATAAAATTGTTATGAGATATATTATTGAATGGCGTAAAACATAATTTGTAACAATTTTCCTTCAAAACAGACGTGGTTGCTTGTTTATTATGTTTTCGCTTATTGCGCCACTTCCACAAAGCCTCCTTTTGTGCTGCCATTTTTCAATGCTCAATAGGCTTACTATGTTGTCAAGCAATAGGAAACAAGCTAAAAATATGTTTACTTTGTGTCAAAACATATAATCATATTATGGCATCTTTTCATACGAATAAAATGCGTGAAATCTTCAACATAGAAGAAGTCTTTGAACTATAAAAAAAAAATCTCATTGTGGTCCTGCTTATTATTCACACTTCCTTGATTGTAAATTTAGACAACATTTTGAGGCCGTGAGCAATGACATAACAAAGCTATGGACGTTATTATTTTTCTGTAAA